GTCAGAAAAACATTAATCGATTACTTTTTGGCACTTGACGATTAATATGATTAATGCCACCAGGCAGAGTGACTGGAGATTATTCTGGTCAGTCTGCTTGATGCTCCTCTCTGCTTCAAATATGATGAACATTAAAACAATTCTGTAATTTATTTATCAACACAATTTAAAATTTAATGTATAGCCTGAAATCTGTCATTTTCACACAATTTGAAACAATTTTTTACAAAGATCAAATCTTTCCCACAAAATTGGTCATGTGAGTATGAAATAAGGAAGTCCAGGGACTCCAGGGGATTAATCGTCAAATTAATCGTTATCGGATAAATACCGCAATTAATCTTGGTTAATTTTTTTTGCTGATATTGCCCAACCTTAGTGTGTGTGTGTTGTCTGCAGACAGTGGGGAGGAGGAGGGAGCAGCTCAACATTACCTCAGGCTCTGAGACATAAAAAAAACTTTAAAGCTGCTGAGTTTTTTGATATAAAAATCTGAGATTTTCGTCTGTATTCATGTTGCAAATGAGGACATTTTATGTAATTTACAGACAATCAGTACAAGGTGGTTTTAGTGTGCTGAAAGTGAACTTAGGATTTTCACGGTTTCATCTTACCATTCCTCCAACAATATTCTTGAACGTGAAATCCGAGGCAGTGATTGGTTCATGCCAGTGTTTTTTCTAACGACGTCATCCAGGATCAGCTTTGCGGCACAGCCAGGTGTCACAAATCAGCTCTAAGGCTGACACTTAAGAATTACTCCTTCACTTCACTTAAAGTAAGACTGAGACGCTTGATAACTGATTTTTACTCTCAGCTTTTAACTAAGAATTTTTTAACACTTAAGTCCACTCTTAGCAGCATTCTTAAGAGTAATTCTAAGAAGTTTGATAAATATGAGCCCAGATCTCTTGAAGAAACCCTGGATATGTTGAACTTGCTTCAAAGTGCTAGACCCAGATTATGTTTTTAATTATTTACCTGACACATAAATCTTGTATTATGTTTCAACTCATCTGCATCACATATTTTTTTGTGTTATAACTTTATACAAAAAAGTGCAAAGGTTTTAGCTCTGTTGTGCTGCAGTTATGGTGACATCCTGTTCTGGTTGCTTTAGCTTTTTTATTGTTTTAGTAGCATCATGTTTGCCTGTGTTCTTTTTTGAACTAGAGTTGCATTTCGTGGTTTGACAATATTGGGGATGTTGAGACTTGCCATAAATCAGCTACAGTTATTTGATTTGGTTGTACAGAGGTTTTTGGGTTTTAACTTTTTAAGGTTGGTTGTTTATCCCATTGGGCTCGAATGGAATTTTCTTGTAGCTGAACAAGTTCAAACTGTTGCAAAATCTTAAGCAGTTCTGCAAATGTAAATCTTCCTGTTTTCCTCCTCAGAGCACCCAGGAGAAGCAGTCGTGTCGTGAGAAGAGCATGCGGGATCGCCTCCGCCTTGGTCACTTCACCACTGTGCGACACGGTGCCTCCTACACGGAGCAGTGGACCGACGGATATGCATTTCAAAACCTGATCAAGTGAGAAGCCTGCTGTTTCCTAAAATGCACTCTGAGCTAATTTGGTTTGTCAACCTTAAAACTATTTTAATCGTCTGAGCTAATGAGCCGACATTTCTTTTGTGTGCTTTCTTCTGTGCAGGCAGCAGGAGAGCATCAACCAGCAGAGAGAAGACATTGAGCGACAGAGGAAGCTGCTCGCCAAAAGGAAACCTCCAAACCCCGCCTCTCCCTCCCTCTCCATGGCTTCCACATCTGAACCCAAGCAGCGCAAAACGAAGGTGGTCAATGGCAACGATTCAGACCCCTTCCTCAAGCCCTCCCTGCCTCAGCTGTGAGTAAACAAAAATAACCACATGTTGTAATTGGAGGATGCTGTACTATGAAGAATGTGATGATTGGTTGACACCTATTTACAGAGTCAAAGTCGTTCACACTTAAATTATATCCTGTTACCACTGAGGACGATTGTAGTTACACTGGAGACTGATAAGGATCGAAACTTATTAAAAATATCTGCAATACACTTTCTCTGAAGGGTTTCATGTTTAAGCCTGACTTAGATCTCTGTATTTCTTACAGACTGACACTTGCAGAGTACCACGAGCAGGAAGAAATCTTCAAGCTTCGCCTCGGTCACCTAAAGAAGGTGAGTGGCTAAAAAAAGACATTGTAATAATAGAATGTGACAATAAATGTTATTTCTAAAATCTTATTAAAGCATCAGATTCTTGGGCTCACACAGAAGGTCTTGAACTAAAAACAGTGTCGTTGTTTCATTCTGTGTGTCCAGGAGGAAGCTGAGATCCAGGCAGAGCTGGAGAGGCTGGAGCGAGTGAGGAACCTTCACATCAGAGAGCTGAAGAGGATAAACAACGAGGATAGCTCGGCGTAAGTACAGACTGTAACCTGCTCATGAATGTTGTCTTGTGATGAAAGTGCCTTACATAAGACTGAGGTAATATTACACAGTAAATCTGTATGGTCCTATGACTTTATACAACCCCTGGCAAAAAGTATGGAATCACCAGCCTTGGATGAGCACTCGTTCAGACATTTCATAAAGCAAATTCAGATCAAAAACATGATATAATAATAAGGTCATTCCAAAGTGCAACTTGTTGGCTTTCAGGAACACTCGAAGAAATGAAGAGAAAACATTGTGGAAGTCAGTGAATGTTACTTTTATTGACCAAGCACAGGGAAAAAATATGGAATCATTCATTTCTGAGGAAAAAAGTATGGAATCACTCAAATTGGAGGTAGAAACTAAGGACACGCCCAGTCAATTTCCTTTCCCTAAATGGACACCTGCCTCAGATTAGATCTGCTCGTTAGTCTGCAGTTAAAAACACCTGCAGTCGTGACACCTTGGAGGGCTGCTGGACCAAGTGGAGTGGCAAGAACCATGGTTCCAACAGGAGAAATGTCTCTTGAAACAAAAGAGAGGATTGTGAAACTTCTTGAAGAAGGTAACTCTYCACACATGGTTGCTAAAGATGTGGGCTGTTCACAGTCAGCTGTATCCAAGACATGGACCAAATACAAACAGCATGGAATGGTTGTAAAGCCAAGCGTACTGGTAGACCAAGAAGAACATCAAAGCATCAAGACAAACAACTTAAGGCCATTTGTCTTGAAAACCAAAATAACACAACTAAACAGATGAAGTATAAATGGGAGAAAGAAATAGTTATTTTAATAGAGAAATAGTCTTAACAAATAAAAAGATAAGATAGAAGAACTTTATTGATCCCACAGTGGGGAAATTTGAACATTACAGCAGCTCAAAACAGTGGAGTTGCAGTAACAGGCTGCCTGCCGTGGCGCCAACTTAGAAACATGTATTTGTTAATTTGTGCAGTACAAAAGACATTTTTTAAATATAAAATTATACATAATGTGTTTATTTGCACTGAATAATTATAACATGGAGGTGGTTAAATATTTGTTTCACTATATCTCACTCAAGTTTTGCCAAAAATGTTTTTATTAAAATATTAAAAACACTGGTAAGAGTTATCGCGCATTTATCRTTATCGGGGTGAACTGGTCAATATATTATGATATTGATTTTAGGCCATATCACCCAGCTCAAGACCCATCACATCAAAAACATTAAGTCCCAATGTGAAATGTGGAGAAAAAGGCAGGGATCGTGGTTTGGCTAAAACATTTGCAACAATTATTTGAATGAGCTGTCTGAAATATAAACTTAAAGATTTTTTTAAGCAGTAGAAACAAAAAACATGATTTTGTGCAAAGCCACAAAAAAAAAGAAGAAAAAAAAACCCTGCAAGCTAGCAAACCTTTTTTTTTCTTTTCAGCTGGGAAATCTCACCATCCATACATATTTTTTTATATTTCCCTTTTTTATAATGACATCCAAAATTCCTAATTTGAATAAACTCAAAATAGGATTCAGACCAAATATCAATGAGTTATCTTGATTAGGAAGACAAATCAGGCCATATCTCTGGAACTGCTCATGATATCAGGATGATCCAAGTATCGAAATGTAGCTTAAAAAGCAGGACTCTGAAAATGTGCTGAGGTCATTTTGACCTAGTTTTACTTAATTCTCAGAATGATGTGATGGGTCTCATATAATCAATCAATCAATAAGTTTATTCACTCAATTCAACAATTTTCCTCATTATCACATACAAACACATTTTCGTTTAACACATACTATACATGAGTGAAAAGGGAGCAGGAAGAAGAAAACCTTGTATAAACCTGCTCCTTTCTCAATAATTACAATTATTTTTCATGGCCACATACATTAAATCACAAATAGAATCTGCAAACAATATATTGTTCTCCTCATTAACTCAAAAGTGTATAAGACTTAATATTTTTTCCTTATAAAGTATTTTAAGTTGATTTAAAATAGATTAGTTTTCAAATCGTGATCCAAACTATTCCATAATTTTACCTCATAAACTGAAATACACATTTGCTTTAAAGTAGTACGCACAGTTGTACTTTTAGATAATATTTTCTTCTGTAA